GCCAGAGGATCAAGGAGTTTGCCGAGAGATTGTGTTTCCTAGTAATTTGAGATGTCGTGCCCATAAAAATCTCACAAACATGACTGCCTAGACATGAGCTGAACAAGGACAACAACAATATCCATGCCAACGTGGACAGGAAGGGCCTTAACCCTACCCTACACAAAACCTACAGGCAACAAAGGGGTGCTGGGAGTGAATTCTTCCTACAGGCAAGAGCACATCAACTGGTTGTTCCAACACCAAATGCTCAGCCCTGAAATGCACACAAGGAAGATGATGCAGACTGAGCAAGCTGTGTTTAGGGAATATATATGCATACACATAGATATGAGCATGCACATGTACATGTATGCACGTCACAACAATTAATGAAAAAAGAGGTGGTGAATATAAGAGCAGAGAGGTATACATGGGAGAAAGATGATGTGTTTGTATCATAATCTCCAAATTAAAAGAAAAAAATATCAATCAATTGAAAAAAAAACACCAAAGATTCTGTAGATTCAACAGCATCAAATATTCAGCCACGAGTTGATTCTTTCAGTAAAAATAAGCAAAAATATCCATCTCATTAATACTCAAATTTGATTTTGTCTTTAATAGAGAGTAAAACTATTCATAAACCAAAGAATTACTAGAAAATAAAATTCTTTACGATGTACTATTTTTTTTAAGTGAGTTCTCAGCTTCTGCTCCAGCCTCCACGCCTGCCTCTGCGCCTGCATGCTGGCACGCTCCCACCGTGGCAGACTAATTCCCCTGGAACCGTAAGCCAAACAGAATCTTTCTTCTATAAGTCGCCTTGGTCTTCTCACAGCAAGAGAAAAGTGACTGATAACCACCCCTGTGACAACAGAAAAGAGAAGGAGTGAAGGAGGTGTGGAGAGAGGGAAGGAGAAAGGGAGACAGGTGGATGGAAGTCAAGGGGAGGAAAGAAAGGGAGAGGGAAGGAGAGAGGGAGACGTTGGAGGCTTGGGACGGATGGTTGGATGGACAGATGGAATGAATCAAGGATAGATGGACGGGGAGGTGGATGGGATGAAGGCGTGGATGGCCGGACAGATGGATAAATACAGCAGGCGCACACCAAGTTCATGTCTGCTCCATCAACTGCACGTTAAATGATCTGAGACAACACACTTTACCTCTGAGAGCTGCCGTCTCCTCATCTCTAAAATGGGGACAATGAAGGTCCGTTGAGGCAACACTGACCCGGATGCCACAGACACAGCAGTGGGACAGCGCTGCATTCTCCCCACGTGCTGGACAAATGAGCAAATGGAGCCACAGCTTCTGATGCCCTCTGCCAATGTCTGACCGATACAGGCAAACGCTGAGGAAGCCATTCGTGATCTGTCACGTGAAGCCTTGAGAGGGCCGCCGTATCGTGAGGACCGTCTGAAAAACGTACCCTACAGAAAGGATCGGGGCGGGTGTGATGGAGAGCAAAGCGTCGGGGTTCTGAGGTGCTGACGTCGGGTCTGCGTCTCAGCGCTTCCGCTTTGGGAAAGCATCATCCCAGCTGTGAGCTGTTCTCCGCCTGTGACCACAACTTGGGGAGCTCCAACGGCTCGAGGAGTCTAGCATGTGAACTTGTCCAGCTCACGTCCAGCATGGCATGCGCTCAGTGTGTTCAGATCCCTTTACCAGCCCCTGCCCAGACCTGGGATGTACAGTCAAGACAGCCCAAAACAGGGCTGACCTCCAATGTATCCGGTACTCAAAACCAGGCATGACGCTCTGTGTCAACCCCATGACGTAGATTCCATTGGAAACCAGAGCCCAGAGAGGTTAGCTAACATACCCAGGATTGCACAGGAGCTGAGATTAGAAACACAGGCCACCTATCACCCTTTAGTGGAGTGAGATGCAGTAGAATGTGTGGGGATGACAGAATGCTCTGGATCTGTTCGAAGTGCGGAGGGAAGTGTGTAAAGCGGGTGGAACATGCGTCGTGGCACTAGGCTTTGAAGAGCCACATAGTCTGGTGTGTGCTTGTGTGGATATGGGCACATTCGAGGGGAACTCCTTCTGGAGTCCCATGGAGCAAAGTGCTGGTGGAGAGGTCGGGAAGAGACTGCTAGAAACTCCTCCCTGCTTCCCCAACCAGGAGTCCCAGGCACAGGGAGGCCGGAGACTTGCTCACCTCATACACCGGAACCTGGCAGAGCTCTGGCATACAGCTGGTACTTAATAAGTGCCCACTTTGCAGAAGGGAATTTGTCCCACACATGCTCTGTCATGCTCTTGTTCTTCAGAAGGAGAAAGGCTCTTACGGGCTTGGTGTTCAGGGACATACTTCTGAGGCTCGCAGGAAGCTGGGAGCTCCTGTGAGGGGCTCAGACAAAGGGGGAATGGCACACTTGGAAAGAAAAAGGCTGTGGAGGGAGACGGAGCTTTTGGGGGTAGTGGGAAGTACCCAGAACACATTTTGGGGTCCCAAGCATCTGAGGAATATGGCCTCAACCCTGTGGCAGAGGGATCCCTGAGCAGCAAGTGGAGGGAGAGGCTGCATTTCTCCACATCTGGTGCTGCACCTGTCTGTCCGCGGGGTGGTGGCCTCCACGTCTCCAGAAACCACAAAGGAAAGAATGACACCCATGAAAACAGAGTTCCTGTTGTAGACACTCCTCATGACGCCCTCTAGTCTGGGCCTCCCACCGCAGCTGCTGGAGTTGAGGGGTCCTCAGGAACAGCATCAGCAGATGCCTTGGAGCTGTTAGAGAGGAGGAAGGACCTGAGGCCGGGGCGGTGACGGCTCAGCTGGTAAAGTGAGCCAGGGTTCAGATCCGCAGGGCACACATGCATGTTGGGCCGACATGGCGTCCACCTGCAATCCAGCACTTGGGAGGCAGAGACAGGATCTCTGGAGCAGGCTGGCTCGCCGGACAAGCAGTTATTGGCATGTTTTGGGTTCAACTGAAAGATGCTGCAGTGAATGGGGTAGCGAGCAATGGAGGAAGGCCCCCAGTATCAGCCTCAAGCCTACATGCAGACATGCATGCATGAGTGTGCATGCACACACACACACACACACACACACACACACACACACACACACACACACATAGACACACATACATGAACACACATACTCAAGCACATACACACACTCAAACATACATACACACACACAAATACAAAAACATTCAAAAGATGGGGCCTGGCAGGTCACTGGGGTATTTCTTACTTTGTGCCTCAACCTCCTGACCCCTACACTCATCCTGGTTGTCCCCCACCACTTTGTGACACCATCATGGTTAGGTCACCCGATTCTGGAAGTTGAACCTCTGATGCAGCAAACTAAGTCAACTTCTTTCCTCCATAAGCAGCCTGCTTTGGGGACTCCGCGACAGTACTGGGAAGCTGCCTGGGAGACCAAGTGTGCACCTGGATGACCTCTTGCTGCACTCAGAACATGATATCCAGGGCTAAGTCACATGCTGACCCTTATCTGCTTTCAGTCTGACCCTCAGCCAGTGACAGGCAAGGGCCCAGGTATGGGGCGGATGTCTAGATCCTATGACTTGATATGGATACTGAGCACAATGCATGGCCCAGAACCCATCTGAACAAGTGTCATACGCAAGGGGCCTGGGGAAGGACGTCCTGGCACACACCTCGGCATTATGCATGGCCAGGGCTTGTCTGTCTGCACCAATTTGACAGAGGTTCTCAGCACAACTGAGCTCAGCATTCTAGCTGCTGGCACAGCCTCGTGGCCAGTTGGGAGCTGCAACCTGTATCATGGAAGATGAGAAGTCCTGGTGCAGCTACTCCAGCGTGCTAGGACCTAGAGAGGGCAAACCCGCCCCTTCCCACAGCTCTCCCACTACCTCGGAGCCCCAGAATAGAGTGACTTTGGTGTCAGTGGTGGTGGTGAAGGTGTGGGTGAGGTAGAAGCTGTGTGCCCACCCCATCCCATTGCTTTACCTGGAGGAAAGGATTCCTTTGGCTCACAGGTCACAGCCCATCACTGAGGCAAGCCGAGGCAGGAACCTGGAGGCAGGAACTGAAGCAGAGGCTATGGAGGAGTACCGCTTACTGGCTTTGCCCTTCACAGATTGCTCAGTTTGCCTCTTTATGTAGCCCAGGATGACTCACCCAGGAGCAGCACCACCCACAGTGGACTGGCCTCTCCTGCGTCAATGAGCAACCAATCAAATGCCCCGCAGACATGCCCAGCCCAATCTGAGGGGGGCAGTTCCTCAATTGAGATTCCCTTTCCTCAACTACGTCTAGGTTTGTGTCATGTAGAAATAAATAAATAAATAAAACAAAAACTACACCATTCCACCCTTGTCAATTTTGACATGGACACATCACTTTAACAATAGCTTTCCCTTGTTCCCAAGATCTCATGTTAATATCACAATATAAACTATCATTCAACACTTTAAAAGCCTGATGTTGCTTTAAATCTCTTAACTATTTGTAGGTCCCTTGAAAATCCAAAATAAGTTGTAAACTTTCTTATTCCCAGAGAGGAGAACCGGGGCAATTATAAGCAGAGTGAAGCAAAACCAGATTCCAACAGAGTGAAGAGTTCAGGGTCCAACATCTGGAACTCACTCCTGATCTGCTGTGCTCCAAAGGGCTGGTGTAGCAGCCCTACCTCTCCAGGTCTGCCCTCCACAACACACACAGTTTATGTCATAGAGTCAGGCCAGCTCCACTCCGCACCCGCCACTGTCCTAGGCGGTCACCCCACAGTCCCAGCATTTTCAATATGCCGTGTTCTCCGCTACCACTAACAGCAGTCGCTTTCCCGTGCCCTGAGCACGCCTTGGTTTCAATCATCTACATATTGGGTGTATAATATTTCAGTATTTATTAATTATTAATATAATCACTTTCATCTCAGCCTTCCCTGGTGTTGCAGTCTGCAAATCAGGTTTTTGGGTTTCTGTTGGTTTATTTGTTTTTTAGCTATCTGTAGCTAGAGTTTTCCTGCCTGGCCCACAGTCAGGACAAATCTCTCTCACCTGCCAGTCCCACAGCTGCTCAGACCCGACCAAGTAAACACAGAGACTTATATTGCTTACAAACTGTATGGCCGTGGCAGGCTTCTTGTTATCTAGTTCTTATATCTTAAATTAATCCATTTCTATAAATCTATACCTTGCCACGTGGCTCATGGCTTACTGGCATCTTTTCATGCTGCTTGTCCTGGTGGCGGCTGGCAGTGTCTCCTTTTCCCTTCCTGTTCCCTTAATTCTCCTCTCTGTTAGTCCCGCCTATACTTCCTGCCTGGCCACTGGCCAATCAGTGTTTTATTTATTGACCAATCAGAGCAACAGATTTGACATACAGACCATCCCACAGCACTTCCCCTTTTCTCTTTTAAAAAGGAAGGTTTTAACTTTTACACATCTCCAAAGTCAGCTTGGTATATTTGGGATTTTGGGCATAGCTTCTCTTACTACTTCCTGCTGGAGGGGGAGTGCTGTATCTTATGGAGACACAAAGAAAATTTTAGGATCGTGGAGTAGTCCGTGAGGCTGTATCGTCTGAGCCAGTTGCCTTGGAACGATTCTGGATGTTGGATCATCTGGGCCATGGTGTCATCAGAGACCTTTCAGGTGGTCTTGGCTGGTCAAACCTGATGTATCTTAATCTGGAACAAATCCATAGCCTCTGGCTTTCTGTAGAAACAAAAGCAGAGCCTCTTTTCCAAAGCAACATATCCTTATATCCAATATATCTTATATTTACGTAAAACATCTGTGTTTTGTTTCAGAAGAATAAAATGCATGTCACAAATAACCTCTCTGTCCTAGGCTAGTCACTGGATTCAAGGGACAGCGTTGACCCTGAAGTGGCTGTGTCCATGGTGTGATGTAGCTCACAGGATGACCACACTCAATAAAGGGACTGCCCCAAGTCCCGCAAGAATTTTACTTGTTCCTCGGGGTGTCCACAGAGGTGACGCTCTGAGGCCGTGCTCTGACTCAGACCGTCCGTACCTGCTGTATAACAAACAATCCTTGAATCTAAGGGACCAGCAACAGCCTTTCCTCCCAGAGCCTGTGTGTCTGCTGGACTTGGCTCAGGACCACCTCCTGCCTCTCCTCCTCTTCAGATAGCATGTGGTGGGCAGCAGAGCACAAAGTTCCAGGCCCTGCCTGCAGCTGGGAGAGCTTTGACATCAGGTAGCCAAGGGCTTGAGTGGACAAGGAAGAGTGGAGAACCTGGGAGCGTCGATCGGTGCTCAGCCTCACCCTGCTTGTACTAGTCTTGTCATGGTCTTCTTGCCTGAGCTTAAGAAAGTCTGTTGACAAACGCTTCGGCTGCCGAGTGTGAAATGGCACAAAAGCTGGGCACAGTGGCTCACACTCGCAACCCTAATACCCACAAAATGGACCCAGGGGGATGACTGTAGGTTCTGAACCATGCAGGACTATGTAGCAGGACCTTATCCCCCAGACAAAAACACAAAGACGCAAAACCTTTGTAGAGAAAGAGGGCAGGCACCCCTTCATCCCAGCCCACGGGACTCCTGTGTGCACAGCGGGTGTCAGACTCTGAGAGGTTTGTTCTCACAACTTCACGAAACAACAATCTGCGCATAGAAGATAAAAACAGAGGCTCAGAGAGGTTTAGAAACCAGGTCATCATCACACAGCTAAGGAACCCTGGAGCGGGTGTTCCATCTCCCATCCCCATGAGTGCACAGCCAATGTGTCTGCTATCCGGTCCACACTACCACATGGAGCATAGCCATCTCCTAGTGCCTCGCAGGAATGTCCCAGTACTAGGCCTGGGTTCTACATCGACTTGAGTTGTTCTCGGTCATGGAAGGCGAGCTGAGCAACGGGGACATGTGACACTTGCTTAGCAGCATGGCTCCAAGGGAGGCTCTGGGGCCATCCGTGTAGCATGTCCGCATGGCCAGTTTACACGCTTCTTCTGGTTATTGCTGTCTCTATCCCGCGGCCCGCACACTCAATTTCAATTCAAAGTTTGGCAGTGAAGGTGTCACGGCTAAAAAATGGAATGGCCTCCCTCCGAAATGAAATAATTTTGTTGTTCAGTTCCGAGCGATTTTGTAATTTCATGCTTGTGTATGATAATTTTATGCTGTCCTGCCTCACGTAACTCAGTTCTGGCAGATCCTGACAGGTGATAAATACAATCTTTTCCGCCCCGCACGCGACAGGCCGGTGCGAGGGAGGGGGGAGAGGGAAAGATGGCAATTTCACATCTGAGGCCAGAGCGCACCCGCAGCCTGTGGCGGCCCCATTCTTTCATAATTTCACGCCTGGATTCCAGCCGGCGCCACCTCTGTTGTGGCTGAAGGACCCAGGGGTCAAGGGAGCCTTCCGGAAAGTAGAATGGTGTTGGGCAGGGGCCAGGGAACCGGTGGAGGGAAGAAAAGAGGGGAAAGTGATGGTTATGGGTCCACCGTGGGCTGGCATGCGGCTGCAGAGTGGATCTCTGGTGCTGATGCTGGCTTCAGTCTGCCCTGGGTACACATGGGGAACGGGCACTTTCAGCAGATAATCGGGGAGAGAGAGAGAGAGATTGACGTAGCAGCATTCATCACCAAGGCCTGTGTTTTGATAGCTGCTCCCTAGCACTGGCCCTGAAAAAGAGCCCTGTCTTCTTGGAGAATGGATGATGAGAAGGATGCTCAGGATGCCCCTGTAGCCCACAGGGGTGTCAACGTGGCTGATGGGGGAGCCAGGGAGTGTGGGTCTACACTGGTGGACACCTGACCCCTCCCATGGCTGCCCCACCCCCTCACCCAGCCCCTACCTCTCACCTCTTTCTTTGCTGTGGTAAGATCAAGGGGTACCTGAGCTTCGGGTGGTGGCATTTACTATGACAGACAAGGTCCACACACCAGCTGTGCACCAAGATAGCCAGAGGAGCCGTCCATGGGCTCCACTTACTCTCCTAATGGCTCTTGGGAATGGAGACAAAAGGAAACCCATTCTATAGATGGCAAAACCAAGGTTGAGTTGACAGAGGAATTCATTTGTATTCATTCCTTAGGGAACCACAAATAACCACACACTGGAAGGCTTAGCACTGGGAAAAGCACTCTCCCCCAGCACCAGAGGCTATACCTCTGAGGTTGAGAATTGGTGGTTGTTCCAGCAGGAAACTCTTGAGGATGAGTCTCTTCACTGAGTCCATCCTACCTCTGAACCTGGGTCAGCTTCCTTTGGCTGCTCTGCCCATCGCTCTGGTCCCACCTCAGTCCTCACAATCTGCTTCTCCCTTTTCTTCTCTAACAGGGGCCTTATCACCAATCTTAGCCAGGTTAATGCCATGTATAGAGTCTTGATTCTATCTTCAAAACCCTCTTCCAAGTAAGAGCAAAGCCCAGAGTCACCTTTTGGGTCTTGTCAGCTGCTAGACTGCCCATGTGTATTCCCTGCTAGGGGGTGAATGTGAGTCTATGGGGGTGGCTGGCCCAGCGCAGGTTAGCTTCACCCCAGGGCTGAGGGAATCTCAAAACAGTGCATAGCAGGAACCACAATAGGAAGTGGCCTCTTTGAAGCATGCTTCCGAGAGTCTGAGCGTGTGGCTTCCGAGAGTCTGAGCGTGTGACTCCCAAGCCCACCTCAGCCCTTTTCGGGGTCAGTGTTCTCCTTGGAGCCCTCTCATGGGATGTGAGTCCCTGAAAGGTTGTGGTCAGCCCTGGACTCCCAATACTTATAGGTGCATAAGCCAGAGGAAGGTCCCAGAGCATCTTGGTATCATTCAAAGTCAGACACTTGAGTATCTGACTCAAAGAGATCTTGAAGATGTGGGGAAACTGAGGCCAGAATGATTCAATGGCATGTCCAAAGTTATTGAACCCTGGCAGGCTCTGCAGTGAAAGGCCAGGTCTGTCCAGGAGACTCGGAGCAGGACACACACACACACACACACACACACACACACACACACACACACACACTCACACTCACATACCTGTGTGCAGACTCGAGCCTTGCCTCAACTCTGCCACTCCGGGCTAGCTCCACCCACACGTAAGCAAGACGTTCATCTTCTGGGACTCACTGGTGGGTGCTGCAGACCCCAGGGGTAAACATGGAGCCCAGCATCTGGGCCACATTGCCGAGCAGGCCCACCTCAAAGGCCTCCCTCACCAACTCCTGCCGTGTTATTTCCTGGGGCTCAGCATCTACGTCTGGAAAGATAAGGGACAAGGGCCACTTGCCTGGACTATACAGACAGGTCCTAAGAGTCTCAAGGGAGATTGTGGGGACGAAATCACCTCACCAAGCCAGAAGTGATCAGTTTTAGCTTGAAGCCCACATGCTACCCCCTGTGTGCCCGCTCACCCGGTCCTTCACTTGGGAAACCCTGACTTGTCCCACAGGACCACAGGGGAATGCTTCTTCCAGAAAGCACTCCCACAACCTCCTAACTAGCCAAAACCCTGCTGTGGGCTCTACTTACGTATCATGTGTCTCCAAGTTGACATCCTGTTTCTACGGACTGGGGCAGGAAGACAAGCTATGTGGGGGCATGCACTCTGCACTCATTCATTCATTCATTCATTCATTTATTCAGCTGACTGAATAATCTCTGAAAATGGGAGATGCACAGAAGCTCTGAGCTCATGGAGCTAGTGTGGGATACACATGATGAACAGGCGTTGACAAGTGTAATAGTCAGGGTTCTATAGAGAAACAGAACTCTGTGTGTGTGTGTGTGTGTGTGTGTGTGTGTGTGTGTGTGTGTGTGTGTGTGCACATGCTTTATTAGAGTGGTTTACAGGCTGTGGTCCAACTAGTCCAACAATGGCTGTCTCCCAATGGAAAGTCCAAGAATCTAATGACTGTTTAGTCCGCAAAGCTGGACGTCTCAGCTGGTCTCAGTCTACAGTGGAATAGAGCCTGAAGTAGCTCTAACACCAGGAATCACTACTTGATTAAATTTGCCGTAGTCGATTGTCATTCTCCACAAGCTGTCTGTCTTCTGCACTGGCCCAATAGGAGAGTTACTGGAGATGTGGTGGGAACCACCACTCCTGAACTATCCAGTCCTTGCTGGTGATCTAATTTCTGCAGTTCCTCCTGGCATGTGATGTTGTCTTTGACTCATTATTTTTTCTGGTAGAGACAACTCCAAAGGCTTCCTTAGACCTTCAAACTATAATGTCCCTCTCTCCGCAGGTCGGGGAAGCAAGGTGGGAATTCTGCCAATTTCTAAGTGTATCTATCCCAATTACACATTCTGGAAATAACTACAAGATAAGTTCAGGACCCACCGAACCTACTGTTCAGTTGAACTTCACCCAAAACTTCATTAATCACCTGACCTCCACGAGTCCCTGCTTTAACTGGAGGGTCACAGTGCTTCTTGGGGGGGTCTCCCAGAATCAACATCAATTCAGAACCAGTATCCCACAGACCCCGGAAAGTCTAATTGTTTCTTTTCCTCCAGTGTACACTCACTTTTGTAAAAGGCTGTTGTCCCTCTGGGGAGAGACGGGAGAAAGGCTGAATAGAAACCTGATAAGCAGGTATTGGCACATCAGGCTGTATGCTGGAAAATAAACCCACACAGCGTGAGGCCGACACCGGCACCACTGCTTCCTCATCTCTTCAGAGTCTGATGCTCTGGGGGCTCCTTCAAGGTAGGGACAAGGCCCCACTTGTTCATGTCTAAACCTGTGACAAGCACACTGCCTAGGGTATAGCAGGGACTCAACAAACACCTGGTGATTCAATGAACACCAGTGTGTTATTTTTTTTTTCAAGACAGGGTTTCTCGCCATCCTTACTTGGGTGAGCATGAAAGAATCCTTGCAGTGACTGTGTCTCCTGTGCCCCTGTGACTTGTCCACAAGGTGGTGAGTCCAGGAGTCAGGGAGAATGAACTCTTTGTATCTTCTGATGCATGAGGGAGGAGGCAGACGGGACCCCATGCCACTGTTGATCCTCAAGCACCACAGATGCTGGAGGTCCTTTCAAACCCAGACACCGGCTGGTGGTTCCAGGTGATCTCTCTTCAGCTCATTTCGTGCAGATGGGGAAATTGAGGCCCAGGGAGGGACAAAGATGTAAGTGAGTGTGTAAGACCATTGAGACAGAAGCAAAGATCCAAAGCTGGCATTTTTAAGACCCAGGACATAGGGGTAGGGGACAAAGTCATGTGTTCTGAGGTGGTCCCCACACTTCTCTAGAAAGAGATCAGAGCCTCTGATACCCAGAGGCTGGGAAATTAGGCCACATGAAGGGAACCCTCCGTGAAGAGGAGGGATTTGAACCCAGACCCCATGCCCTCTCCCACTGTATTGTATTTGTCCCCAGGAGCTAAATACATACAACCAAGAGCTAAATGAACATCACACATGGAGGGTCGGGCGTGCGGAGCTGTTACAGGATGGGCAAGAAGCGGGCTGACAGCTCGGTACGGATGCTCCAAACCCCTCTTCCCACAAGCTGGTATCCTTAGCCAAACGGCGGCGTGTACAACTGCATGTCTGTCTGGAACATAAGCTGGGGAGAGCTCCCGCATCTCCGGTCCCTCTGTGAGTTGATCCCAGAGCCATCCAGTAAATTCCAGGCCCCGTGTCCTTGCACATGCCAGCTCTTCTCTGCCCCGGTACAGCCAGGGTAGTATCCAGGAAGGCAGCTACCCAGGTTACAGACCTACCCATGTCTCCTTGTCACCCAGAGGTGGCAGAGGAGGCTGTCAAAGCTGTGACAGAGCCTTAAGCAGCTTTGTGACACACTGCAGGTGCCACAAGAGGGCTTCCCATCCTGACTCTGCCACTTCGATGCTGTGGTATTTTGGAAAGCTGATGTAACTTCTCTGGTCAAACCAGCATCCCCAGACTGCCCCTGGGTATACAGCTTCTTTAAACCTCCCCTCCCCAAGCCTGCTCAGGGAAACACCAGCAGTCACCCTTTGCCAGAACCAAGCCCTGCTGCCCCAGCACGTCCTGCGGGGCCCAGCACCTCGCTCCACCTCCACACATCTGGAAATTAACTGTGTACCTTCCCACTTCGCCCATTCCACGAGTAAATCACCATCGGTTGGGGTTGCTTATTTTGATGCATCATCCTGTTAATGTCTCTCCAAAAAATGCCAACAATGCTCACATGGCCATCAGAACTCCCCGAATCCTGAAAAGTACATAAGAATTTATTTGTCTCCGTGAGCATCATACATATTGTATTAAATCCGCATCGTGGGGCTTAATAAAACGGAATAGAGGCAGGAGAGCGCATCTCCGGCAGCAGGGAGAGGCGGTTGTGAACTTGGAGGCCTGTTAAATGTTCCAGTGGCAAACTCTTCTGCCAGGAAATGAGTTTGCCACCAGCCGAGGGGCCGAGCGGGGCCATCGAGAGAGGCTAAGCTCCACACGGCCGCCATCCCTCTTCCACACGGCAATACACCACGCCGCCTCGATTTTTCATCCCTTGCTGCCTGAGATGCAAATTTCTCCTCTGTTGTTTATATTAGGTTTTCAAATATATGGAAATCTAGGGATCTGGAGGGAAATGCCAGGCCCTCAGAGGCACCCGATCTGTCTTCTTCCTCCCAATGATTCCCTTCCATCACTTGCCTGACATGTGATAGGACTGAGTGCTGGTACCCTGCTGGGATGGAGCAGTACTCCCCACCCCTGAGGTGAGGGATGGCTTTCCAAATGGAGCCAAAAAGGGCTGGGGGGCAGCATGTCCCCATGGGCTGGCAGCTAGCCTGCACCCAAGGGTGAGACCTCTCAGCCCCTGGGCAGACAGGGGAGATGGGAAGATCCATATTAGACACCTACTGCACACCAGGGTATGACACAGGACAGCTAAGACTCAGCATTAATTGAGCTTTCCTTGTGTACAGGATCAGAGCAGCACATGACAGGACATTTGAGCATCTCACGGTCTCCATCATCTGGCAAATGGGGAAATGTGTTTTCAGTGTTCAGTCAGGGTGAAGGCTGAGCTAGCCCTTGGTGTTATGGGTTCTGTGGTTCTAATCTATACCAGGGGTCAGCAGAGTGCCACATAATAACTATCCTAGAGTTTGTGGGCCAAACCAGCTCTTGCAACTGCTCAGTTCTGCCTGTGTCTTTCAAAAGCATTACTACCCAAATGCTAACAACATGTGCCAATAAAACTTTATTGACAGAAACAAATGGTGGGCCAGATTGGCCCATAGGGTGTAGTTACTGATCTGTGCTCTCCCAAGGCTCACTCTTGGTGTTTCACAGGGCTTCATCAAGCTTTACAGGGACCAAGGGAACCTCCCAGGAACTTTCATCCAGTTACTCTTGCATCTCCACTCCACAGAAACCTGACAACATGGAGATTTTAGTCTTATTTTTTTAAGGAGGAAGCAGAGGCTCAGAATCGAGTTCACACACTGAGACCATGGCAGACCTTGGATTCGGACACTGAGCTTTGGGTCTGTCTGGTTGGGAAGGCTAAGAGAGTGTCTGTGGTCAGAGCTCCTCCAAGTTGGAGCTCAGACGACTCTGGGAAAGAAGCAGGTCCCAGGCAGGCTTCAAAGGCGTGTCCCTGTGGATGGGGGAGAATGGAAGTCCTTCCCTGCCGGTCCTCCTGATGGAAGCACACACACAAGGAGCACCATGAGAAGATGGAGACCAAGGCCCAGGTGATGCACCTAAGACAGGGAAACCCAAAGATTCCTAGCTGTGCCCTGGATGCCTCAAAGACAGCCAGCCTGCTATTCCGTGTGCTCGATGTACCTCAGCGATTTGACTTATGGTCTCTGGGGCTTTGGGGGACTTGGCAGGACCTTTAAGAGGCAGAGCCTGGTGGGAGGAAGTTAAGACATTGCAGAAATGGCTAGGAAGGGGATATTGCCCCCCTCCTCCCTTCCTCTTTCCAAGCTGTCAGGTGGTGAGCAATCCTCTATGCAACATGCCCATACCACAATCTACTAATGTGTCACAGGACCAAAGGGAACAGATCCAAGTGACCGTAAACTAAAAACCTCTGAGCCATGAGCTGGGTCTGACTTTCCTGCTCTCTGGGCAGAATGTCTCTGGTGTTTTGAAACAGGCAAGACGCTGGCTCAGGAACACCTTGATATCAGACCCCTGACTCCCTTAGCTGGCAGAGAATGAGCACATTTCTGTTGGTGAGGCCATACTGTGTACAGTGCCACGGCAGCCACAGGGAACACACAAGTGGGAGTAACCCACACCTCATCACCAGCTCTGGAGCATCCCTGAGTCCCCAGCTGGAGCCCAGGCACCCTGAGGTTGGTCCATCTTTCTTGCGATACTGACTACTCTACTACATCAAATCACAGTCTCAGATCCCTCTCTCAATCAGCTTCCTGCTGAAAATGTTTATTGAGCACCTGCTGCATGCTGCATATACTACTGAGTCGCTCGGTGAAAATCAACTGGCGGTCTGAGGGCGCAGAGTTGGGAACCAGCGACGCGCGGTCCCCAAGCCTGACCTTTGATGTGCTGGTGCATGAAGAGAACTCCAACTGCAGTGACAGTGTCCGTGGCTTCAGCATCTTTCTGGCGTATCCGACCTGCAGCTCTGACTGCGGGGTAGACATAGGGACGGATGGTCACAGTAGCAACGCAGGCCAAAGGGGACTGTCTTCTTCAACAGGGTAATGGTGTCTGTCAATAACCCTGGCCCAGATCTAGGCATGGCAATGCAGCCCGATGGCCTGTGTAAAGGGGGGAAACAGGCCTGTCCAGTGTGAGCCACCATTGTTTCCTGTCCTGTACCGGTCACCTGGGCTGTATCATCCGGTCCCTGTTGCTATGACAAAAGACGAAATATCTGAGATTGGGCCATGGCATCAGTTCTATTCCTGTTGCTGTGATAAATTCCCGTGACCAAAGCAACTTATAGAAGGGAGGGTCTATTTTGACCTTATGGGTCCACAGGGATAAAGAGCCCACTACCACCACGGCAGGCAGACAGCAGCAAACTCACGTCTCTACCTACCAACAGGAATCAGGGAGAGAAAGAGCACTAGAAATGACAAGCTTTTTAAGCTCCCCAAACCCGCCTCCCAGTGACATACTTCCTCCAGCAAGACCACACCTCCTAAGCCTCTTTAGGGCTGCCAACTGAAGACCAAGCCCTCAGATGCTGGAGACTGTGACAGATGTTCATCACTCGCACAACCAGTTGTTTATAAAGCAGGAGGGTTAAACGAGACCCTGTTTCAAAGAGCAAGCTGGGTGGTTCCTGAGAAACGACAGCTGGGGTTGACCTCTTGCCTTCACACTCACACACACACACACACACACACACACACACACACACACATACACACACACACATACACACACACACACACACACACACACACACACACACACACACACACACACACACACACACTTGCAAGCCCATGGATATGCACAGACACAGGAATAATTATACTAAACTATTCTAAAGGGTGGGCATTGATTCTTCAAGTCTCCCCCCCCTTGCTTCACCTCTGCACTGGCGACCATGACACAGTCTGAGTTTGGACAATCAGAGCCAAAGCACAAGAACAGAGATGGTGGACAGACAGGGACCCCAGCTTTCAGAGAACTCCTATTCTGGGTGAGCGTTTCCAAGCACAGAGTTCCGGGGAGGCTGAGCTGGAAGCAGGAGAGCCTTGATCCCACCATCCAGAGAAAGTCAACAGACGCCTGCCTGGATCAGTCAGCACCTCCGTTTACTGTTGTAACTAGCTAGCAGCGATGATGCAAGCCCATTGGCGTCACCAGCCTTCCAGATGCAAGACAGCGAAGTGCGGATGGAGGTGAACCAGGAATGATGGAGGGCCGCCCCTGGCCTCCCAACTTTTCTCAGATCCCCGTCAGTCCCTGGCGCATGAATTTTTATCCCATCGGGGAGGAAACTAGAGTGCAGAGAGGTGAAGCTACGTGCCCAAAGGCACACAGTGAAGGTGTGAAATTTCAAGCCGTGCCAGAGTCGGAGGGAAGGCTGTTGGCCCCCCCAAAGACCAAATTCTTTTTCTCTGCGTGGAAGAGGGTTCACAAATGGCCAAGCATTTCAGGAATAATGATCACACCTGGGCTCTTTGGAGAGCTGAAGCCAAGAGACAGCAGGAGCTCCCTCCCACACACGAGACAGCTACATTGTCTTTAATAGAAAGAAAATGCCAAGTGTCTGAGTCACTTTTCTTACTACAAACTCCCTGAGAGAGTGCAGCCTGGGGAAGGAAGGGTTGGGTTTGACTGACAGCTCCAGGGGATGCAGGGGATGCTGGGAAGGCAAGGTGCCGGGAGCATGAGGCAGCTGGTCACACTGTGTCTGCAGTCAGGAAGCAGAGAGAGATGGATGCTGGTGCTCAGTCCGCTGTCTGTTTTTTTTACTTAGTCCATTTCCCCAGACCACGGGATGGTGCTGACCACATTTAAGGTGGGTCTCTCACCTCAACCCCTGTGTGCCGTCAGCCTAAAAGTAAATTAGGCCAGCGGTGTGGCAGGTCTCCAAACCATGACAGAAGCACTGTGGGCTCCACCCAGACTTAGACCAGTAAGAACAGAAAGCCGGGCTGAGGAGGTGGCTTCGTCGGTAAGGTGCCTGCTGGGGTTTGATCCCAGCGGTAGGAGGCAGAGACAGGCAGATCCCAGAGCTCACAGACCAGCCTGTCTAGCCGATCCGTGATTCTCAATGAGAGACCCTGCCTCAAAAACACAAGGTGGGAGGCAATTGAAGATGACGTCCAAGGCTGACCTCTGATCTCCACATGCACACATACAGTCTCTCTCTCTCTCTCTCTCTCTCTCTCTCTCTCTCTCTCTCTCTCTCTCTCTCTCTCTCTCACACACACACACACACACACACACACACACACACACAATAAAAATTTAAATAACAAAGAAAGCTCACAGCTGGGCAGCGGTGGCGCATGCCTTTAATCCCAGCACTTGGGAGGACAGGCACCAAAACTATACAGAGAAACCCTGTCTCAAAAAAAAAAGAGAGAGAGAAAGAAAGAAAGAAAGAAAGAAAGAAAGAACGGAAGGAAGGAAGAAAGAGAGAGAGAGAGAGAGAGAGAGAGAGAGAGAGAGAGAGAGAGAGAGAGAGAAACAAAGAAAGCTCACTCACACCTGTGATCCAGTACCTCTGTGGCTGAGGTACAAAAATCGTAAGTTTGAAGCCAGCTTGGGCTACAGAGTAAGGTCTTGTCTCAAAAAAGGAGGAAACAACAATTAAATATCTTATCTCAAATGCTCATTGAGGAGTGGTTGAAAAAGCACTTTGTGGGATATTCACATGATGGAATACTATCTAACCCTGAAAAGGAAATTCTAGCATTTGGCATGATGGAGAAAAAAAACCTTGAAGACATACATACCTTGAGTGAATTAAGTCCATCTCACAAAGATAGCCCAGTTAGATGAGGGCCCTGGGAATATCAAATTCACAGAGGCAGAAAGTGGAGGGGGTGGATGAAGGCTGTGGAGAAAGGGGGATGGGGAAGATATCATTTAACGGTGGAGAACTTACATTTTGTAAATGAAAGAGTTGTGGAGATTTAGAGTTAGTCCTTGAGCTACAACCTACAATGCCCCAAACAGCCTATCCCATCCCCTCTCCTCCCTCCCCCTCTCCTCCCTTCCCCTCCCAGGGTGCAGAGGGGTAGAGGAACGAGGCAGAGGATGGAGAACTTGCAGGACCAGGGTTGGAGCTGGTCCTGCCCCTGCATCTCACCAGCCTCTCTCCAGCAGCAGCACCTCCATCTCACCACAACTGTGGTTGACTTTCTCTGCATCCAGCCAGATTTTAAATCAATCCTAAATCCCCAGGGGCTGTTCTCTGTAGCCACTTCCTGGAGTTGCAGGGTCACTCATTTGAAGCCACAATCTTGTATTGGAATTTTGTTTTTGTCCCCTGAACCCTCGGCAAAAGTGAAGTCTGTCTGAAAGGCGGGCAAGCGACCTCTGGAGCTCCTTGTCCTTCCCTGGAGAGGGTGAGAACCCTGAGGACACAGAGCTTCCCCATCCCAGGAGCGGGGTGGTGGTGGTGGCATTGTCCCTTAAAAGAGCCATCTCCCCTTAAGAGGGACAATGAGGGGGCTGAACAGGAAAAAGAGAAAGAGGTGACCCCAGATTGGGGCTGCACTGTGTGGTCCGAGTCTCTCAGCACCCACCACACATCTGGCCAGACTCACCACCTGCTCCTTTTCCCCATCATCCTCTCTCTTATTCCCTCAATGAACAGATACATTGTGCGTCCCTTGTCCAGACACTGAGACCAGTGGCCCTGTGGCTACTCTGAGCCAGTCACAGCCTGGCTTGGAGTGTGTCCCCAATACCATCAAAGCATCCCTTGGGGTAATATTCTCAAAATCTCCTGAGCATGTTCCCCATATCCTGAGCTCTCCACCCAGGGCTGTAAACCGCTGGCTCGTCTCTTCCATACAGCTCTCAGGGAGCCATAAAGTAGGCTTTGCTTGGCTCACATGACATTCCCCTCCCACACTCACAGTTCCTTCTACAGGTGAAATGGAGTTTCACTCATTTAAAAGACTGGCGTGCAAGCCAGGTACCACAGCACAGTCTCTGAATGCCAGTGCCAGAAACATCAGTGCCCACTGTGCCCAGTGGTCATATATTCCAGTGGAAAGGTCCTCAAACTTCAAGACATAGGTCTATGAGCTAAAATGATAGGCTGAGTGGAATTTCTTGCTGGTTGGGGTGGGGAAGGTGTGAGAGCCAAAGTTACATTTTAAGTTTTAATTACTGTGCCTAAGATTTCCATGAACCAAAAATGCCTCTAACCTGTAAGCCCCTTGCCTGAGGACAGATACTCCTGAAATGCTGGAAGCTATTGTTTATGGGAGATAATAAGCCACATGTTTTCACTCCCCCAAACAAATGTGTTTGACCCAACTACACTGCATGTGGGTGGGAGGTATGTGGGTAAGAAATACATCAGGATGTGTGGCTTGGCCCCTTATGGGAAATGCTGTGACTTGTGGGTTTTCCCTTTTAAGCCCCTGCAAATGTGACTCCTGGCCATTTTCTGGTAACCCAGAGATGGACCTGACCAGAGAGTCCATCAACCTGGCCAGTATTTGTTGTGGGAATTTGGTCGGACAGCCAATTGTATTAGAGCGGATTGGCCCCATGAGCGTGGTCTTCTCTGCAGGCACGTGACCAGAGAAGAGCTGGGGAGAAGAGGAAGCCCCCTGTCTTAGACTGTGGAGGGCTTGCTGAAGCCGTGGCTTGGTGACCTGCTCTAGACCTTCGCCATCTCTCCCTTGGGGACGAAGAGGCAGCAGCGCAGCTTCGCTCTGTGTTTGTGAGTGTATTGTATTGATTTCATCCTTTAATAAACCTGAATTGACCCCAGACTTCCATCCCACTTTACCCGGCACCCAACGTGGCTTGGCTGTGCCACCCACAAGGCTTGGGCATCAAGGCCTGTTTCAAATTCGGCTTTAAGTTGCTGTAATGGTCTTATTCTTGACCAGTGGGATTAACATTTTCTGGAGGCCCCCAGTGAGATTCAGGCCACCCACCCAAATTCTAAAGCTGGGTCTTCACTCCAGAACTCTGGGGCTGAGGGATTACTTCAGGAGGCATATGCCCTGAGATGTCCCAAGGCTCCGAGGCTGCCTTCGGTTAGTGACTGTTGGGGCGAACTGCCATGCTAAGAAAAGCAGCAAGCATCTACGGAGGCCTCCTGGTGAGTCATAGTCTGGTTCTGTTTTGTGGGGCCCCAATCTGGGATGTGGAGGGGATTCGGTGGGACCCCAATATTCTCCCGTCCAGGGTAAATAGCATAACTTCACCTGCCCACCTGATTCCGGTTGGTGGAAAAGTTTCATCTGTCTGTTTTGTGTATGTGAATGGGTCTGCGTTTTCTGGGGCGCCAGCCGCCAGCCACCAGCCACCTCCACTGCCATGGCTGCTTTTATTGCTGGGGCTCAGAATTGATCTCTGAGCTTTTTTTTGACCAATGGATTCAGGTTAGCAGGAATTAAGATGTGTTTTGGATGTGGATAACATTAATGTTGCTTTATGTGTTCTATTTCATTGGAAAGCTGGCTCTAGAGTTGGGTTATGGCTCTTCCTTCTCTAGATCCAAGTGTTTTTAAAAGTTTCCTCTATGTCCTGTGTCAGGAGATCCACCAGATGCTGTGACAGAGAAGAGAGAGCAAAGCAGAACAGGCAAAAAATTAGACTTGGTTTACGCGAATATTCTGTACCTCAAGATTTATACGCTTATCTTTATTGGGTATGGTTAGAAATCTGTAATATCTGTGAAAAAATGTTAACTAAAATTTATAACATGGGGTTGATAGTTTAAAAAAAACCTATGCATAGGTAATCTTAAAGGAACCATGTGGTATGATTCCATTTTGGGATACAAACAACACGTGGCTTGCCACCATCTACCCAACCATTCATTCACTCATCCATCCACACACCCACCCACCCATCCATTCATCCACTCAACCATTCACATACCTATCAGTCCACCCACTGATCCATTCACCTACCCATTCATCTATCCATTCATCCATAAATCCACCCGCCCATCCATCCATCCACCTACCCATCCACATATGCATCTATCCATCCATCCATCCACCCATTCACTCACCTGCCCATCTACCCACCCATTTGCCCATGAATTCATCTATATACACACCCATCCACACACCCACCCACCCATCTACCCATCCATTCATTCATTTGCACACTCACTCATCCATTTACTCACTCATATACACACATATCCATCCACATACCCATCCACCCACTCATCCATCCACTCACCCACCCACCCATCCACCCACTCATCTACTCACTCATCCCCCGTTTCCATGTTCCCAACAGCCCTCCAGCCTCCTGTTTGTCCCCACACTCATTCACCATGTTTCTGCACACCACTGCAAGCACCCACTGTCCCCAAGGTCTTCTCTGAGTCTATACCTGTGGTCAGTGAACCACATGGCATAGTCCTGCCCAGGTGCGCCCTGCCACCAAGTCAGGCAGATCACAGTCAGTCTCTGTCACATAGGTGTCCTGTAGGGACAGTGTCAACTGACAAGAGTGGGGAGGGGAGCAGGGAGGACTCCCAGAATGAAAGAGTGCTGGATCTGCTGTGTGGAAAGCAGGTAGGTGCTCCCTGGGTGTAGAGTATCAAATAGGAATCAAAGAGGAGAATGCCAGAGGCAGAGGGAACAGCAATATTTTCAGGCCCTTAGAGGTTCTCAACCTGTGGCTCACAACCCCTTTGGGGTCACATATCATATATCCTGTATATCAAATATTTACATTACAGTTCATAACAGTAGCAAAATTACAGTTATGAAGTAGCAACAAAATAATTATATGGGGGGGGGGGGTCACCACAACGTGAGAATCTGTATCAAAGGGTCACAGCATCAGGAAGGCTGAGAACCACTGCCTTAGAGGGGCAGGTTCATTCCACAGCAGGCCCAAGGGGGAAGCAAAAACAGCTGAGGTCAGAGGAGGAGGGAGGATCCTTTCCCAAGGTGCCTGGAATTCAACGGAATTTTCCCCTTTAGTATTTGTAATAAGAATGCATTTCTCTAACAATGAGGTCAGAGGTGTGAAGGGGTTAAAATTAAATATGGAGGAGCTGGAGAGATGTCTCAGAAATTAAGAACACTGACTGTTCTTCCAGAGGGCCTAAGTTCGATTCTCAGCACCCAGATAGCAGCTCACAACTTTCTGTAGCTTCCATTCGAGATGATCCAACACCCTCTTCTGGCTTCTGTGGGTACTGCACACACATGGTGTTCAGACACACACACACACACACACACACACACACACACACACACACACACACACAGAGGCAAAACACCTACTAGCATAAAATAAAAAGAAAATCTCAAACATGTAAATGATAATAAAAAAATAAAGTTAAAAATGGAGCTGCCAACCAAAGTGGGGACCTTGGAAAGAGACTGGGGCCAGCCACAGAGCTGAGTGTCATGAAGGAGGCAGAGAGGCAGCCTGGACCCTGCTCCAGGCTCTCTTCCTTTCCTGGTCTCCCTCTGTGGTACTTGCATCAGAGCAGCTGATGGAAGATCAGGCGTGCGGAATAGATATTAATGTGGCAGGAGAGGGAGGGAGAGGCAGACTATTAAAATTCTGTAGTTCTGAAAAATACATAAGTCTAAAGTAGACTAATGAGACACTTACTGGTGTGGTTGTCTTGCATTAATGACCCTGCTGAGGATGAGATTGAAGATGTTTCTCAGTGTAATTACCAGGCTAATGGTTCCCTATGACATCACCCAAGACCAGGATGCTGCGGGCTTTGCTACAGATCACTTTTGAAGTCAGGAAGCTGCCGACAAATTGCCAGCACAACCACTGCTGGGTCACATGACCTGCACCTCCCCAGGTGCTGTATCTGCTGGCTTCCAGTGGACACACCCCCATGCTCACCTCTGCACCCTCATGCCAGCA